AAACCCATTGCTTCTGGAATACTCACAGTTGCCAAACTTTAAGAGAGAAACATAGTCACTGGAAATCACACATGCTTTTATAACATAGATAAGCCCCATGTGTTAGAAAGATTCTTTACAAACTATAGAAAATAGAGATGGAGGAAAATAATTGACATTTTAACTCAAATCTCAATCCTATTTTTGGATTTGAGAGCCAGGAAATAGAGAAAAGAACACACCGTACAAATGCTAAAGTGCTGTAGGCTTTAATATTTAGATCATTTTTCCTATTCATGACATTTATTTTTAGTAGAAAATTATAGTTTGAGGAAACCATTTAACTACATCATGTTAGCATAGATTTTACTCACTGTAAATGTGCACAGTATATAGGAGATAGGTCAAGAAGATATGCACTTGGAGGAATTGCCACCTTTGAGTTAGGAAATTAATGCCGCCTGTGACTTACCAAATTAAGGTCCCACATGACAAAGAGGAAATGGAGATTCCTTATTACATTAAAGACAATTGTTAACACACCTGTTTTATCAGGAAGTGGGTAGGATGGAATTCCCAGATGTTATGTATGTTATATAATTAAGTATATATTTTTCTAAATAATTTTAGTCTGTGTTTTCAATGGGGAGTGTTGTTAATGCCCCGTTACTGTCTGTCTTAGTTCACTTGGGCTGCCGTAACTAAGCTCCATAGACTGGGTGTCTTAAACAGCAGACACTTGTGTTCACAGTTCTGGAGGTCAAAATCTAAGATCAAGGTGCTAGCAAGGCAGGTTTCAGTCTGAGCTCTCTCCTCTTGGCTTGTAGGTGGCTGCCATCTTGCTCTGTCCTCGCGTGAGTTCTTTGTGACCAAAATTGAAAGAGAGAGAGTGAGCTCTCTGGTGTCTCTTAGAAGAGCACCAATCCCATCACAAGAGCCTCACCCTCCTGGCTTCTTGTAACTCTTATCTCCCAAAGGCCTCATCTCCAGATACCGTCACACTGAGGCGTAGGGCCTCAACATAGGAATTTCAGGGAGACATAGGCGCTCAGTCCGTAGCACTGTTGACCATGATCTGCAGGTTATTCTATGAAAGTTTAAGTGTTTTCCCCTCTGAATGTTCCCTTGCAGTATTCCTCAGTTTGACAGATGGGGAAGTCTGACAGTTGTAGATGGTGACATTTAACTGAGGTAGTCTTACATGTAACTTTTAAAAAGCTTTTACTGTGATGGAATAATGGCTAGAGCAGGATTAATGAGCATTCAGGTAAGGAATGAGCTTGGCCTGAGCGGGCTGTTCTTCTGTTCATGGCTTTTATTTAAAATATCTGTCATCTCTGGTACCTCGTATGGGATGTGCTTACTGAAATGCTGAGCAAAATAGTGTGTCATATCATATTTTTCAGAATAAAGACTGAAACCAAGACCCACCTATAAACCTATGTAACAAATGATCTGCGTAACAGCCAGATAAGCAGGATCCGGTGGAAAGAGTGAGTTCTGTGTTTACGTACAGATTCCAGAATAAGGCAGCCACCCCTTTAATTTCAGGCCTCTGATAGTATGATCCTTCCTCATTCAGTTAGAATCCCTCATTAAGAAATACATCGCACGCCCAATACACTTTTGACTTTCAAGATAACTGCATGCAGAATTCGACTTTGTCTGTTGGGACTACCGGATCAATTACTTTGACTTCATTGCCTAGTCAATTCAGTCAAATAACTGGCTTAAGTGATTTTTTTTTTCCTGCTGAATTTGCCAGGTAACTTCATTTTGTGTGTAACTGTTGAGCTACCGCCATGTCCAAGGGCGGTACTGGGCACTTTGAGGGGATACAGAGGGTTATGGTTCCAATCTGTGCAGAGTTCATAATACAAAACGAATTCATAGTGCCTGGCAGAATGAGACTCAGTGCTAAGGGCCTGGAGTAAACAGGTTTTGTTGTTGGCTGTTTTTGCTTCAGTAGGTAGTAAACTGAGTGCAGTGGCAATTGTGGAATACCATGCAGGCTTCCACAACAGAGAGGAGGGAGGAGAGTGGTCCAATGGGAGAAGAGGTAGTGAAGAAGCATTAGCAAAATACAATTAAGAAAGGAATTGAATCTTAGGGACTAGCTTTGAAATTAGCCTGGCCTCAGAAGCATGGGTGTGGAAATGACCGCGTTATAATAAATTAGCAAAACTAGATCATGGAGGGCCTAGACTCTCAAGTCAAAGAGTTTAAGCTTTCTCTAAGCCCTAGGACCCACTGAGGTTTTTAAGCAGGTTAACCATGAAATAAAGCTGGGCTTTGGGAAGATTACTCTGGCAGTGGTGCATTGAAGAGACAGTAGAGGGGAGAGGCGAGGGTTCTCTTCTTCCCTTGTTGCCCTGGCAACTCCTTTCTGTTATCACACCCAGAGCCCGCCTGCTTTTGCACTGTGGAGGCTCTAAAGGTCACCGCAGAGCCCTGACCTCAGAGCAGTAGATGTGTCCACATGTTGATGTCCTACCGGATCCTGATGCCAGGAATCGCTCACATGTGCACGTCGATGCCTCTACAGATTGTTGCTGTTCCATTCTCTGATGTGTCTTTGGGTGGCTTCCTTCCACCCCTTTTATTTTCTCCAGAAGTTGGCTGTCCTAAGAGACATTGTGCTGCTACCTTGCCTCCTCACTGAACTTCTCTGGATCTGATTTCTCCTTCATAAAATACTGATATCACCACCTCGTAGGGATGCTCTGGGCAGATGCAAGAGGACATAAAGTAGTACGGGGAGGCCCCCCTTCAAACCTCCGCCGACAGTCCAAGCACAGTTCTCGTTCCTCTCTGTCATGCCTCGTGCCACGTGTGCGATGAGCTGCCCTGGAAACAGACACTCCTGTTCCCTGGCTGAGTGCTTGGCCGGGATGTGGCCTAGGGGATCTTTCCAGCATCAAAATTCTGTGATTTTATTGATCTTAGGAAATTTGATTAAGGTTTGTTCTGAATTGTTCTATTAGCATAACCATTTTTGTTGGTTTCAGCTTTCAACACTATCAGTCAACACCTATTCATCCATGCTGATGAAAGAAAGGAAACATCATAGAATATCTAAAAAGTTTAGCTTCTGGTTTTTTTTATAAAACTTAACCTTAAAATATGATCTAAACTTTACAATGATTATTTAAGCAATCTAGCCCAGCACTGCTCACGTCGTAAATATTTCTTTGGCTGAATTTTCAATAGTAAAGTTTAAGCCAGAAAAGAAACTGGCTGGCTACCCCACCCTGCTTTCCTGCTGAACACCTCTGTCCAGCCCCTACTGGGTCCCTAGGGCATCAGGGTCTTCCCCAGGGGGTGATGTGCCCACCAGTGCGTTCCATCTGTTTATTGTTCAATATGTGTGTTTGTTCTCTGAGCTCACATCTTTCTTTTTAGTGGTAAACATCAAAGGAAACTTCTCTCCTCCAGGTTCCTGCTTTATATCTACCCTCAGCTGGGAAGAAAGAATAGAGACAGTTACCGTATCCATCAAAGACTGAAGCAGTTTTAACAGAGTCGCAAAGAAATTATCAGCAGAATTTTCTATAATCAATTTACCTTCTTTTAACATTAATGAGAATGATGTAATGCCCCTTTATTTTCAACTAAAAGTTAAAATAACGATTCTTAGATCAATTACAGAGATACTAGTAAACTTGAGAATTTTTAGCAAACAGAATCCAGTTTACACATGAGGCACACAGACTTATTTAATTGGAGCCTGACAGATCCTAATATAATTCCATATGGATATTTAAGTGTCAAAATTATTCAACTAGAGGGAGAAGCTATAATGGATGTTTTACTGAGTAATGAAATATTCCCTGAATACAGTTGGTGTGCAGACCACATGCCACATTTTAATGAAAAGTCTCAATGCTTTCCCCAGTAGTCTATACAAAATGTAAAGGAAGCTTACAAACAGAAGAATATTATCATTTTTATGTTTTAGGAGTGGCAGAAGAATACATAGCATCACTGTCTTATCGGAACGTTCTCAGTCTAGAAAGATTTAGTTCATCATGTACATACTCTTTTTTTTCTCTTTTTCTTTCCAGTTTTATTGAGGTATAATTGACATACAGCACAGTGTAAGTATTAAGGTGTACAGTGTAATGATTAGACGTATGTACGTCATGAAATTACTACCACAATAAGTTTAGTGAATATCTGTGATCTCACAGATACAAAATGAAAGAAAGAGAAAAAATATTCTTTGTGATGAGGACTCTCAGGATTTACTCTCTTAACAACTTTCACATAGAACACACTGCTTTGTTAAGTATATTTATCAGGTTGTACATTACATCCCCATCACTTATTTATCTTATACCTGGAAATTATCATGTACATATTCTTATATATAGTCTGGGAGATGCCATGTACCTGTTCATTATAGAGATAACTTTTGCATCAATACTGAGTAACTGTTGGCAGCACGTGCTGCTTCGTGGGTTGGTTCTGAAAGTACCGAGTGTGGGGTAAACCAGCACACCTGAGGATATTTCAAGCTAAAAATGTTATACAAACGAAAAATACATTTGCCATTTCAGTTCTTTTGATAATTTCATGGACAGGAGTGAATTTTGCTTCTGCTCAGATACAGGCCTTAAATACATAAGCCTTTTGTCTTGGCTTTATAAGCAAATTATTACCTTTAACTTCTTTAAGGGAAAAAAAAAGGAAAATATCCTGCACAGTATTCTTCCTTGCCTATTCGGAGCTTTGTGATATGTATTCAGTACTAGTTCTTGATAATTTGTTAACAAGGCGTTTTTAACACTTAGGGCAGATGCACATACTGTTTTCAATCTTCACGGTTAATTATTCGATTTTGTATTTGATGCTGGAACACCCTGACTCCTAATCACTGCTCATTGTTGCAAGTCCATTATATTCTGTTTGAGTGCTCCCATTGACCTTGAACTGACATTCTAAGCTGTGTCTAATCTTTTCAGTCTATATTTCTAATGCTTCTTTTCTTTCTGCCTTTTTTTTTCCTGATCCCTGTTTAGCATCACAATGGGGCTGCCCCTGAGCCCAGCAGCTGACTCCGCCCGCTCTGCCCGACACGCCCTCTCCCTCATCGCCACCGCCAGACCACCCGCCTTCATCACCACCATAGCCAAAGAGGTGAGCGCGGCTTCTCATTTAGAAGACCTATTCGATATTGTGAGCCGAGGCGCCGCATCCATAGATGATCCTTCCAGTTTGTTCTGGCACAATGCAAGTTAATAATTTAGTCCTGGGATGAATACATAGGTACCTGTGTGCGCGCACCCTGAATTCCACGGAGGGGCATTCCTTACTTGTGTATTCATTTCTGTTCTCAAAGTTAATTCACTTGTAAATATTTGACAGTAATTTCTCCATCGGAAATATGGCAGGCTTGTTCAAATTAAAATATATTAAAGGCAGCCACATTTTGCAAGTGTAGGTGTCTATGTGTAATCAAAACTAAACTTCTTATTTAACACTGGCTCAAACTGTAAACAAAAATGTAAGTCATAAACTTGCTAATTGTTTTTCCTATTACATGTCACAGATAAAGACTTGAAAGCCAATTGATCCCCACATTCTTAGCATTCTAACTAATCGCCCACATCTAACTGAAAAACTAGTAAAGAACAATGAGCCAGTGGTAGGGTCTTTCCTGTAGGTCTTAGGAGTGGGAGAAAAGGAAAGAACGGTAAGCTCCTAAGTTTTCTGTAAAGGTTTGTTCCATTTCAGCACGAATCACGTGCAGACTGGTGTCAGTGGTATAAGGACTGTGAGCTGTTTTGGCTGTAGATACGATGAATCTTTAAAATACTAAATAAGTGCCTCTGAGTCTGTCTTGATAACTGCAGCCTGTTGGGCCTGTCTTTGCCCCAGAGCTATCTTTAAAAGGCAAGCAGCTAATATTTGTGATGTGAATGTAGCTAGAAGGAAGGCCGGAAGTAGCAGGTTGTATAGGTTTCTATGAGACAGTGGGACTCTCAGTTCTCATCTAAAATAGATTTGTAGACTAAGGGGCCATGGTTTTCTAACAGTGCATGAAGTTCTAGTGAGAGGGCGCTGCACTTAAAATATACATGTGTATGTTATGTGTTTATATTTTATGGATATTACATATTTATATGAAGTGTATGTACGTATAAGTGAACAGATTTAAGAGACATGGAATTTTTTTTACCAGTTTTTCCCATCAGTGGACTATGCAGAGGTAGTAATACTGAGTTTCCTAAATAAGCTTTATGCCAGTCTGACTTCATACACATGTCCTATCAATGCCGGGCATTAAACTGCCTCTTTAAAGAGAGTAAATGAGTATTTATTAACAATTAACTTGTGTTTCTGAACTTAATGTTCACCATTTACATATGTGTATTTTTAAATCAACTTAGAATAGCCATACTTTGGATTTGTTCTACTCCAGCATTTGGCTAGAGAGGTAATTTTTAAATATTTTAATGTTGATGTTCTAACTGCCAATTGATTGCCACATTCTTAGTGTTTTGACTAATATTTTAAGGGAACAGTCCACATTTATTACCTTTTAAAAGCAAGTTTTCCACTTTCCATAGAGGTTTAAATTACATGCTAAAGTATTTCTCACAATTATGCTGCCCCTCCCCGTGTCCACTCCTGCATGACTAGTCCTGCAGGACTAGTCATGCTAATGCTGTTTCTCCTCTGAAGTGTTAAGACTTAACAGTTTGTATGAGGAAGAAGAATCACACTGAACTTACATTACAGTTGGCCCTTGAACAACATGGATTTGAGCTGTGCAGGTCCACTTACATGCAGATCGTTTTCAGTAGGAAACACTACAGTACTACACGTTCTGTGGTTGGTTGAACCCTTGGACACGGAGGACCCGCATATATGGAGGCTGGCTATCAGTTGTATGCAGATTTCCAGCTTTGGGGAGGGTCGGCACCCCTGACCCCCAGCATTGTTCAAGGGTCAGCTGTATTTAGAGTGCTCATTATTTCTGGAAGCATGTTTTTTTAAGTTTCCCGCCTTGATTATAATGCACCTAGAATGGTGCCTGGGATGCAGCTGACGTGCCATGTAAGCATCATTTACCATTATTACTTGAAAGCAAGGGTCATGCCTTGTAATTGCTGGTACCCCCTAATTGCTACCCACCTCAGTGTCACATATACCAAATTCACAGACCTTCAGTTTGTCTTTTTCAAAATGTCATGATAATACTGTATTGAAGTCTCATATCATATCCAGGAACTAGAATTCTCTTAGGAATACATACTGAGTTTTTATTGTACTAAATACTTTCTTTTGCATGTAAGTGTTTCCTGACTGACCCCAAGATGTTTGTTTTTGTTGGTTCTTTTTTTTCTTTTCCTGTTGTGTTAATAAGTGAAAACTAAACCAGTGGCTAGGAATGTAAAACTCTACCAAGTGCGGAGCACATCTATAGCATGCAGTGTTTTCATAGGTCCACAGACATACTGCTCTGGCGGCAAACACACAATCGCAGCAGAATATGCACACCACAACCCTTGCACGAGCTAAAGGGGAGATCCTGAGAGTCATTGAAATTCTCATTGAAAAGATGCCTACAGATGTTGTGGATCTTCTTGTGGAGGTAAGAATATTCTGTTTTAAATGCTGCATCAACAACCTAAATAAAATATTCTAGCGGAGTAATGTAAATCAGCATCTTTATTTCCAGCACCTCTAAAAAAAAAAGAGAGAGGTAACTAAAGTGAACGAACTTCTGTATCATTTCTGGAGGCCTTATTTAAATTTCTTCAAAAATCAAAATGATTGCTCTGCCTGCTTACCATCCACATGCAATTACCCTGTGTTGGAGTAATTTTTAAAGGTTATATTCTCTTTGGTATCTTTCATTATAAATAAAACAAAACATACAGCATGCTTGAATAAAACCTACACTGGACATAAATGTGAATTGCTTTTCAAGTAAACCAGTCTGGTTTCTTTATTTTACTGTGTGCTGTCTTTTAAAAATGTTCTCCACCGATGAGAGGAAGGATAGCTGATAATATAAAGTAAATGTACTGCAGTTTTAGTAAATATACTGTAGTTTTAAAGTAAATGTTAAAATCAAAGTATCTAGAATTCTCATGCCAGTGAGGCCAAAGTTGATATTTTAAATTTGGGAAAACTGAGTATTGAAGTTAATTTTGGATTTGTATCTTCTTTGTAAAGGTAATGGACATCATTATGTACTGCCTTGAAGGATCTTTAGTTAAAAAGAAAGGTCTTCAGGAATGTTTCCCAGCCATCTGCAGGTAAAGAAGCCTTTGATAACATGCAAAATAAATAACTTTTAGTAATAAATAATTTTTAAAAAGTTTTTTTTGAGCAGGATGAGTTAGTAGTCTTGCCCAATTAGAAATCCAATTGTGAATTAACATCTGCTTACTTTCTAAAACAA